GTCTTAGATGGTTTGGTCGCATTAAGCATCGACCATCTGATGATCCGGTTAGGAGAGATGTTTTCGATTCGACTTATGTTAAGAAAGACAAAGGTAGACCACAGAAGACTTGGGCTTATTATATAAAAAAATGATCTTAATTTATTAGAACTAAATGAAAATATGACACTAAATAAGACGCAATGGAGAAAAAAGGATTCATGTATATAGTCGACCCCACGTAGTGGGATTAAGCCTTTGTTGTTGTTGTTGTTGATTAACGAGGTTTGAAAAAGTAAGGATATATAAAAATTTTGAAAAAGATTTATACGATTAAGAAAATTTGGTGTAAAGATGATTATTCAGGTAAAATATTATTTTTTAAGGATAAACAAAATAAATAAATAATCTTCAACAATTCAATCATTATAAACGAGTTAAAGGCCAGTAAGAAAGCTAGACAAGAAAAATATGAGTTCAAAATTTGATGATTTATATAATATACTACACATAAAAAAATAAAAATATAAGGTCTGTTTGGGGTAGCTATGAAGTTGTTGAAGAAGAAACTGATGTTCAAAAAGCTGCGGTGACTATTTTATTTTTATTTTTAAAAGTTAGACTGCTTTCTAATAGTCACTGCAAGTAGCTAGGTATGATGAGAAAACACAATTTCCAGCTGCAGTTTTTTGAGAACGCGTGTAAAATGTAATTTTACCAAAGAGGAAAAACTGCGGTGCAATATTGCATCGCCGCCCCAAACGCACCTTAACTATATAAAAGCTAATGAAAAAGGTGGAACGGACCTTGAAAAATTTAGATGCACCAAAAACAAAGATCAGAGAATCTTCATTAAAGATGAAATGGTAGAATCTTAAGAAGAAAATAATAAGGAAAGACAAAAATAATATTTTGATAAAATATTAAATAAAATTTTAAGAAAGAATTTTCTTTAAATAATAAATTGAACAAAATCAAGAAATATGTTATACATTGATTCAGAAAAAAGAATTTGAGTTCCCTAAGAGAAAGATGCCTGAAAGTAAAACTTGGGTCTAAATGAGACGGAAATAAGAATTTGAGAATTATGGAAGATAACAGAGTAATTTGGTTAGATTTTTTTTTTTCAATGAAATCTTAAATTTTTGGATGATAACATAAATGCAATTTAATGTATATATTTAAGTATAAAAATTTATGGAAGATAACAGAGTAATTTGGTTAGATTTTTGGATGATAACATAAATGCATTTTAATGTATATATTTAAGTATAAAAACATACTCATAATTTTGGTAATTGCAAGGGCATTAAGTTCAAAAGTATACATTTCAGTATTAGAGAGGACATAAGAAAGGTTTAATAGTACTGCTGAAATCTAAAACTCAATTTGATTTTATGAGAAAAAGATTCACTATAGGGGTGTTCTTGAGTAGAGGCAGTAAATGAAAAAGCATAAATAGTAAATAAAGGAACTTAGAATGATTTCTTTTTATCTTTAGAAGGCCTGCGATCAAATTCCACGAGAAACGATTGATTGTTTTGTAAAAAAAAGAATTTGTCAAAAGTATATTGATATTTACTTATGATATGTTTTATGAGACATTTCCAGACATTAGAAATAGTAGTAAAATGATCAGAATCCATAACTATATTACATTTCATCAAAGATCAAAAATAAGTTTGTATATTTCTATATTTGTTATGGAGATGATAGCAAAAGATGATAAAAGAATATGACTTGGTCAATGATATTTGTAAATAAAATAGTATAACAAATGATACCTCTGATAAGTGAAAAATAAAAGCAATGGAGAAAACTGTTAGAAGAGAAACGAAAGGGTGTTAGGAAAAATAGAGACAAAAATATAACAACAACAACAAAAACAAGCATTTATCCCACTAAGTGGGGTTGGCTACATGAATCTTTTTTCTCTTTTGTGTCCTGTTGAATTTTATATTTTTATTTAATTCTAATAAATTAAAATCATTTTTTATACAATATGGCCAAGTCCTTTTAAGTCAACTTTTGTCTTTCTTAACATAAGTTGAATATAAAACATCTACTCTCCTGACCGGATCATTAGATGGTTGACGTTTAATGTGACCAAACCATCTAAGACGACTCTCTCTAATTTTGTCGGCCACTTGAGCTACACCAACCCTTTCACGAATAGATTCATTTCGCATTTTGTCTCTGTGCGTCAAGCCACTCATCCACCTAAGCATTCTCATCTAAGCAACACTTAACTTTTTTTATGCTTGTTTTTTAAAGGCCAACATTTTGCATCATACAATATTGCAGGTCTCACCACCATCTTATAAAATTTTCCTTTTAAGTCTAAGAAATACTTTACTATCACACAATAGGCATGATGCATTCCTACACTTCAACCAACCAACTTGAATTCTACTAATAACATTCCCATCTATATCACCATCACTTTGAACAGTACATCCGAGAAACGTTAACGCTTTTTAATTATTTGATCATCCATAGTTACAACTCTGTCACTAGAACTACTACTACTACTAAAATTATATTTCATGTATTCAGTGTTAGATCTACTCAAACGAAACTCTTTAGAATCCAATATAGAACTACATAATTCAAGTTTTTCCAAAACACTTTCTCTAGTCTTATTCACATGAAAGATATCATCAACGAAAAGAATACACCAAGATACATTCTCCTGTAAATGTACAGTAAAAGCATGCATAACTAAAGCAAAAAGATACGGTCTTAAAGCCGATTCTTGGTGTAATCCAACTGAAAAAGGAAAATACTTGGTCAATCCTCCTATTCGAACACAAATAACAGCTATATATATATATATATATATATTATTTGAAAAAGCCCGAGGGCAGGGCAAATATATTAATATGAAAAGGATACAGAAAAATTGTATGAGAAGATCTAAAAGAAAGCCCAACTCATAAAATACAACACAACACACAAAAAAAAACTCAGATAAAACAAAAATACAAAAAAGTAAAAAACCAAAAAGCCACAAAAGGGCACAAAAGTGCTAGGGACGCCCCACTTTAGTCCTCCTTCCTCTAGTTCTCGGAAGTGAGCCGACTAACAAATTGATAAGGTGTGTCTCATTGCCCGTAGTAACCAAAGTATCATCCATCAAATTCTTGAGCTCAAGTAGATCTTCATTCTTCTTCTTCCTCCTAGATGTATAGACCTGTCATTCCTCATCTGATGATTGACTCATCTGATCAGTAAATTCCAAAGGTGGTCGGATAGGTGTAAGTCGTTGCACGTCTTGATCCCCATGAACCTGAGTAATATTAAAATCCTTTATCTTTCTGGCCTGATGAGACGGTAGTGAAGCAGTAGAAGTATTTCCACTTGTATTATCAGTGATAGGTTCTAGGGCAGACGGGGTCTGAAGAAACTCCCTCTCCCCCACGATAGGAGGGAAGAGGAGATGCCAAAGACGAGAGAGCTACAACGGGGGATTGAATAGTTGTCATATTGCCTGCCTGATCAGAAGGAGATGGAATCACAGCCTCTAGCGGAGCAGTTTGCTTTTTTGGTCTGAGGTGGAGGTGCAGATGGTGACATTGAGATATGGAGTGTCTGAACATACGACAGTTCGAACAATACGACGGAAAATGTTCAATCTCTACCTTCTGCCAATATCCATGATGTTGTGTGCCCAACCAGATTTCCTCAGAAGCTGGTGAAGTGATGTCTCTTTCAACAAGTACTCTGGCTTCATAAGGACGGGACAAATTAAAAGTAGGAATGTTCGTCTTGAGTGGCTTCTCATAGACTGAGGCAATAGAGTACAATACTTTTTGAGAAAAATAATAAAATTTCAGACCAGGGAGATGAATTCAAACTGGAATGATTGGTGGTTCCGTCTGTGGGTCAAAATCCACAGACCACTTCAGAATCTTCATTTTTCTGTTATCAATCCATATTATCCTTCTAGCAAATAAGCGCATGTAATCTTCTTCATTGCTAATTTGAATAAGAATGTGTCTCTCATCTAATAGCCCGATTTTCCATTCTCCGACAAGGTGCATGAGTTTAAATTTTCCATTCTCCAACGGCTATAATATATATATATATATATATCTTTAATGACTTGAATATAAGTCATATCAACACCTTTCTGCTAGAGAATCTCCGAAGGACTTCTCTTAGAGCCTTATCGTAATCTTTTTCTAAATCAATAAAAATCATATGATATGTAAATTTAATTTTTGTTAAATTAATACATTATTCAGGTGGTGAAATAAATAGATAATCAAAAGTAAATGTTTCCAATAGACATTGTTGCATCCTATCTCTTGACTTTTTTAAATTTCCGGAACGTATAACCAATTTTAGGATAGCAATATCAGCATGAAGGCTTCCTTCCCCAACTGCTGAAGAAAAAAAGTCCAAGAACAACCTGGAAAATTTTAACTAGTGTATTTAAAAAGAAGAACCATGTGAAATATCCACCAATAACTTCACAAAAAAATTAATCATTGGATCATGATTCAACTTAAGTAGATTTAAGTGAGGAGAATTCTCTCATGTACTTCAACAATAAATGTAAAACTTGAGAGTAGCATTGAAGTTCAACATTAGGCTGATCAATATAAAGCGGTTGCTTTGAACACTCCAATGGGAAACTAAAACTCATAATATTTGTTGCAGGGGTACATTGGAAGCTTAAGCACTCAGAAAATAAGTCAAATCCCAGAACACATAACAAAACTCTACGATAAAAAATTGGGAAATTTACATGCATACCACACAATTCCTTTGTATTTACATATCTAACACGTGAAACTTGATATTTACATTTATAACATTTTGGTGTTATGAACCTATGCTAGCAAAGGTGTACTTATAAAAAGTTGGTAGTAGTGGTAATTTTTATTGAATATTAAATATTCAAGTGTTATGTATGTAAATATGAAAGTTTCATGTTAGATACATAAATAAAGAAGAAATGTGTGTTATGTATGTAAATGCCCTTAGAAAATTCAAGAGAGATAATGATATTTTACCTGATGTAGATGGGTACAAGCCCTTCAACTTTGGGAAGTGTTTTGAAGTGTTCCAACACTTTCATTGCCTCCAAACCATACCTAGGATCACCATAAAGTTTACTGAGGTAGTTGAACTCAAGCTGCAATGTTGAAACTTCTGAAGTACTGCTCAAGCCATCAGGAGCGGCATGAGCTGATCTTTCACTCAACACAACATCACTAAATGGAATCGGTGTTGGACTTGAAGTAAAAGCAGACAGTAGACGGTCAGCCAAATTCTTCGCGGCATCTAAGAAGACCTTGGACTTCACTTCATGCTCACCTCTGCCCAAATGATAAGCACTAAGAAGGCCTCCTAGAACACGTATTGTGGTCTCAAACAAATTTACATGCCCCTTCCTGTTAATTCTCTCCATAAGGTTTTTTTCTACCCAAGTAGTTGCTTCGGAAACAATTTCATTAAGTCCCATGATCATAGCTGTGTCAAGGGAATCAATAATGGTAGCACCAAGGCCCCCAAGGCCGTCAACACCTTTTTGACTCAGGGGCATTAGCTCGTCGTAGCCCATGGCATATCTTCGATAGCCAGACCAGGCATGTATGAACGCTTCTTTAACCTGATTTTGCCTTGACATCAATTCAGACTTATCATACAACTTATTAGGATTAAGATTCCAACTCGAGTTTTTAATGTCATCAGGTGAAAACTGTGGAGGAAGCCTTGGGGGCTTCTGTAAAAACCTTCCAATTTTACCAATTCTTTCCTTTACATGATATCCATCTCCTGTCGTGGTATTCTCCAGAAATCTACGAGATGCAAGCTGACTAGGGCTTTTATGAATAACCATTAAATAAGTTAAACCGCTAATCATCAATAGCATTAAGAACTTCCCCACACCGCATCTTCCACAGTCATGTCTGATGCTATTAGTACTGAAAGCCTGTGTCACAACCTAAAAATAAAGAATACAAAAAAAAAATCAAAATGAGATTATTTGAAAATAACAATATTGATGTCCCACACAACCCAAGAAGACAGGAGCGAATTGGGTCTCTAAAAAATTATTATTAATGCAAACGTTAGCTAAAGATAAAATGTGAAAAATAAAATGAATATTAATTGACCAATTAATGAAGACTGTGAAATAAAGAAACAATAAGAACTCCAATATTTTTATCTAGTTCGGCCCTAACCCCTTGGAACGGGCGCTTCTTCCGCATGGATGCGGGATCTAGCAGCCTCGAACCGGCTCAGCTTTGCGTGAACCAGTTCATTCTACGGGAGGAGGGAGCTGCACGATCCTTCCTTGATTGGGAATTGCCGAGAGGGTCCCGCCCTTAGCTACCCTAGTAGTATTTATATGTTGTTTTATGTGTTTTAGGTCAGTTTTGGATTCAGTTTTATGTCAAGACAGCCGTCGGAATCCAAGTTCTTCCTTCTAGGGCTATATCTGAAGACGAAAAAGTTTTCTGGCTGTAACTCATCCTTAGGTGGTGTTTATCTATCGTTCTCTGCTTCCCATGCCTTCATCCCAACTGCCGACTTGCTGCGGCAACCCTACCGGACTGCTCTGCCGGCTGCCTGTTGTTTTCCCTAACCACTGCTTCCACGCTGCCAACTCCGCCCTTCCCTTACTACTGCCCAACCTACAACCTCCTCCATCCTTGTCGCTTCCAATCACCATCCATCCCGCATACCTTGTTGCCACCTCCCCCATCCCAACCTTCTATCTCCCTCAATCATAGCCACCTTAACACAACCTTCCCACCACATTCGACTCCAGCCCTTGTTGGTGTTTGTGTTTTGTGCCTTTTGTTATTTCTCATCTCAGTGTGTGTTTATTGTAACCCTCTACATGTTTTTTCCATAATAAGCATTGCTTTTCATTTATTATTTGGTTAACTTTGATATCATTTGGTACCAGAGGTAGTCTAACCCTAGTTCTAAACTAGAATTTCTAGCATTCGACATACCATACCTAAACACATCTCCAACCCCACCCCACCCCAAAAAAAATTTTCTTTATATACCTAAACACATCTCCAACCCCACCCCACCCCACCCCAAAAAAAATTTTCTTTACCCATCTATCCACCTCTAAACTCTAACCATGTCGTCGAGAAGGAAATTGTCGGAAACTTAAGCAGGACTTTACCATGGACGACACAAAGTGGATACTCTGACGAGTGCTTCCAACGACTCAAGGCCATTGAGATAAGGATCATGGGCAATGTCACCGTAGTTCGTAATAGTGAGATCCGGGAAGGAGAGCCAGAAGAACGGTTGAACCCCTTTCATAAGAATGACTTCAATGAAAATGAAAATCAACCCGCGCACTTCAGAATTCATTATCAGAGGAAATAGAGAGAGGTTGTGCCTATTGGAGGGCACAAAGATTTAGGAGTTAAGATGGACCTAACAAACTTCGACGTGAGGATGAATCCATATGATTTTCTTGAGTGGATGCAGACCGTTGAGCAGATCTTTCAATACAAAGATGTACCCAGTGTTAGAAGAGTAAAGCTCATCGCCATACAAAGAATGCCTCTTTGTAGTGGGAGAACCTAAAAAGGGAAAGTGAGAAAGATGTGGCATAATCACTTCTTGGGAGAAGATAAAGAAAGCGATGCAACGACAGTACCAACCCTCACAGTAGATGACTACATAGTTGAGTTCAAGCAGTTTACGTTGAAGTGTGAGCTAGTGAAGCCCGATGAGAATGCCATGATATCTGAGAGAATTGTGAGTGTCCATTAACAATGTAATATAATTACAACCCTAATGGACATTACATGATGTTTAGATCCTAGCCCAAAGTTAAGAGATAACACAACGATATCAGGTCTACACCGCCCTTCAAACAGGGTTCAACCATTGATTCAAGCAATAAAAGTACGCCCAGTGGAGCACCGAAGCTAACCCTGCCCGAGGAACAACCCGTACGAAGTGGATAAGCAGTGGAGACTGTCAGCACTCCCAAATTTATACCAGTTAGAAAATGTTTTAAGTGACACGATTTTGGGCACTTTAGAATAGATTGCCCAAACAGAAGAATGATATTTTTCACTAAACATGGAGCAGTTGAAGAAATGTCAGTGATAGAAGAGAAAATGAAGACATCGGGGAGTATCGGCTTCTAGTCGACAAGAGAGAGCTGTCATTGATTCAAGCTAAGCCCATGAGGTGAGAGACTCCAACAGGACTAACATTAGTTGTCCTAGAATATAATGAGTCTGAGAAACCAATATCAGAAAAGGTTCAGCCCCTATTGAGGGGGTTATCAAATGATTTGATTGAAAGTTTACCTCCTGGGTGGTTGCAAATAAGAGCGGTCCAGCATGTCATAGATTTCACTCCAAGCTCACTTCCTCCAAACTAGCTTGTTTATTGGATGCGCTCCACCGAGCACGAGAAGTGGGGAAGCAGTACAAATTTATTGGTTTTAGACTTGATTCGTGTGAATATCCGTTTATGATTAATTCCAACTTTGGTTATGCTAAAAAGAATAACTATTAATTCTATCAGGACATGTTTTAGAATGAGGTATTTATTTTAGAGTTGCATGGGCATAGATTTTGCAGTGGAGCTACCTCAAAAACAGTAAGACGATGATTTTATTATGTGCAAGTAGATCGATTCTAGAAGCTTACAATGAAGAAGACTCTCCTAGCAGAGGCGAATGATGCGGGAGCTAAAGACCCACAAAACCATGGATTTCTGCGCTTACCGTGATTGCAGGACTGACCGGATGGAAATCCTATCCTATGAAATTTTCCTTACGAAACTTTCCGCTATATTATCAAATCAACTAGATTTTTTTTACTTTTTCTGACTTATTTTCTTTCTGTTTTCTCTTAATTAAATATTAGTTTAATTACTAGCATAAATAACGTATGTCGAACTTGGTTAAGGGGATTTTTGCTTTGTTTTGACTATTATAGATATCGTAATATCTAAGTTCCTGCATTAGGAGTGTTGCATCATCTCTCTTTTGTAAGTGGTGTGTATTTATATTGCTCAGGAACAGGTGGTGAACCTCCTCATTGCCCGTCCTAAGCTAGTTTGTCATTCATTTCGCTATTTTCAGCAGGGACAACCACCAAACAACTCAATTCCGCTGTCTAACAACAGATTTTACCGCTTTTCTCCTGCTAAACATCGTCGACCACCCCTATAATTTATCTTGAACCATCCTAGAACGACATCATAAGGGTTACGTTGTTGGGTTATAATCCTAAGGTCGTGTTTGGAAGCATCGTTTAGATAGGATTTAGGCATGGATTTAATGTAAATCCACCCTAACATAAAAAAATGCAAATTAAATTCAATGGTCCATTAAATCAAAATTTCGTGCATTATGCCTCTGTTTATCGCATTCCATCCCTAAGTCTGAATTTACTAAATCTGAATGCGGGTTGGATTTAAGGATTTACTCCGTCGTTGGGAGCGATCTCAATCTCCGTCGCAGAAGGTTTGATAAATCCAAAATTTTACTGGTTTTGATAAATTCTATTTTACATAAAATCAATGTGTAGCCAAATACCGCCTAAATGTCTTACTAACAGTAGACTAGTTGAGTTACACTCAAGTCTAGAGGAGTGAGTTGAGTTTTGGCTACAGAACGACCGCCTTGAGGTTTTTCACGAGCATCAACTGACGTAGACTATTATAGTTAGAAAAATCTATTTATTCAATTAAAATTGAAGCAGGGATCGGGGGAGGACCGATCGGTCCTCAAGGGAGAGGGGCTGCCGCCCCCTCCTTCCTTTCCCGTCTTCCCTTTTTTCTTCATTTCCGCTTTCTTTTTCTTCCTCCTCCTTTCTTCCTCACCTTTCCTTTTTCTCCCCCCTCAACTTTTCCTTCCTAAGTACTTTCCTATTTTAAATCCTTCCTAAAATCTAAAATCATAAATATATTTTTATTCTCCGTTCTTATTTTAAATCATTTTCTAAAATCTAAAAACCTGATTATATTTTATTCTCCTTCCTTATTTTCATTACCAAAAATAACTCTAGTTTCTTTATAAATATGGGATGATGTGCTTAGAATTATGGGTCTTATTTTTTATATTTAAATTTAGGTTTTATCCTAAATTTTTTCCCTTCTAGGGTTGTATCCAACATGAGGAAGTGCTCCGGTTGTCCCTCGCCCGAGGTGGAGATTGTCTCCACGGGTTAGGTGGTGCTCCAGCTGTAACTCGACCATGCTAAGAAAAAATCGTTCTTATTTTAAGTTCCTCCACCCTTCTCGTCATTGTCTGCCCGCTCCACAATCCTATGACAACCCCAGCTGCTCCATCCAGACTGCCTCTTCGTAGCTTCCCTGCAGGCCGCTTACTTCCACTGCTCATTCCTGCTGCAGCAACCTACTGTCCAACCCTTTTAGACCCCTCACGACAGCCATCAGACACCTCTACAACAACTACCTTGCTGTACTGGCCCCCATCGCTGTCAGCGCTTCCCCGCTCACTATCCGCCCTCTGAAAGTGCTGGTGAGCCTTCCTAACTGCTGCATCACCTTCCCGCTTGTTACACCACCTTCCAGCTACCTCTCAGCCAGCCAACAAACTTTCCCGCCCCCTTAACTTGCTACCTCCCTCCAATTCACCTTCCAACCCTTGTCGGCTCCTCTCCCGCATGCACCCTTGTTGTCAAGCCACCAAATCCACTGAGCCAACCTCCACCGCCCTTGCGATATACTTTCAAGGTATTTGTATGTATCGTCCAATGATTTGTATTGTTATCCTATATTTTCGTTGACGAGTCGTCATTGTAACTGACTTCAATTGTAGTAATAAAAATTGTGTTTCTTTTATGGATTGAGTCATCTCTTCCGGTATCATTTGGTATCAGAGCAAGTCCAACCCTTGTCCCATCCTAGGATTTCTAGCATATGCCCTTACCCAATCCACCACACCAATTTTTTTTTGTTCTTTCTTTCGTGTTTTTTTCCTCTTTTTTCTTTGTTCCTTCTATCTTTCCTTCCACGGATCCCAAAACCGTCAACTATGCCGCCAAGAAGGAATATGCCCAAACCTACTCACGGATCCCAAAACCGTCAACTATGCCGCCAAGAAAGAATATGCCCAAACCTACCTGGGGAGGGATGCAGCGAGAACTTTGTCGCCTCCAACAAAAGCATAAGGAGATTGAAGAGAAATCCAGTGGGAAGTTACTCTCGACCATGATCTGTAAGGTCAAAGGGAAAAACGAGAAAATATGAAGATAAAGCAGAGAACACTGCGTCAATTTCTACCAACTGACTACCGCCAAAAGTTGCAGCCTCTACTTCCGAAGATGAGCGACCGTATCACCAAACAAACCCCCCATGCTACTATTCAACAAACCAATCTGCAAGTCTGTCATAGACAGAAAATGTTGTAAGTGTCATGGATTCAGACATGTGGAGGCAGAATGCACAATCTGGAGAGTGATTTATTTCACGGAGCAGACCATTGATGAAACCTGAGGCAAGGACACCGCAAACAATGAAAAGTAGTTCGAACGAGAATTTTTATTCGATGACGTCTTCCCCTGGGAAACTCCCTTATTCATGGATATCTCTGATGTCTTTCCCCTGTGTAATTAAAAGAAACATGCAACTTTTAATGAGATTGTGATTCCAACTCCCCTAGAAGATGAAGAACTTATTGTTGAGATATACAAATGTCACGAAGATCAGAAAATGTAAGTATTTAAATTTCAGATGATGGTCTTAATAACGACCAACTGATACCATCAAAGACGATTACACTTCCAACTATCACCCCCAGTGTTCCGCGTGAAGAGACAAAAGGTCAGGTGAAGTTCTTGTTATTAGAACAAAGCTTAAGCTATTAGTTCTTCAAAACTTCAACAGTTAGAGAGAAGACCCAGAAAATAATAAGAATCGCACATCAACCAAACTCTTGCAAACCCATAAACCCGCTGAGGCCAAACTTGTCATAGATGAGAAGCCTTGTTCAAATTGTTCAAAATTTGGCTTCGGGAGAACCTATGTCGATGTGTACCTTTGGCTCAAATTCTACTAAACCAAACTAGATTGATAGGGAGGTATGCTCCAAGGTGGGAAAAGCATCGCAGATACTTTGGGAGCTAGGGCAGTCGTCAGTGGGATCCAGAAACAGCCTCAAAAAACCAAAAGCTTCGACAAATGAAGTCGAAGCTCCTCCAACCCCGAAAGACTGACGCGGGGCTCGATGGAGAAGCGCCTGGTCCTCAAGAGTGAGGGGTTGCCACCCCCTTCCTTCCCCTTCTTCATTTCCCTCATTCCCTCTTTCCTTTCTTTCCCTTTTCCTTTTAATCCTCCTTTTTGCTTCCCCACCTTTCCTTTATCTCCCCCCTCAACCTTTCCTTCCTTATTTATGCAATCATGATTATATTTTATTCTCCTTTCTTATTTTCATTACCTAAATAAGTTTAGTCTCTTTATAAATATGAGATGATGTGCTTAGAGTTAGGAGTCTTGTTTTTTATATCTGAATTCAGGTTTTATCCTAGAGTTTTTCCCTTCGAAGGTTGTATACAACGTAGAGGAAGTGCTCTGACTGTCCCTCGTCCGAGGCGGTGATCGTCTACACAAGTTCGGGTGATGCTCCGGCTGTAGCATCGAGATATTTATCTATCCCTCCACCCTTTACGTTGTTGTTCACCCGCTCCACAACCCTATGAAAACCCTCGTTGCTCCATCCAGACCACCTCCCTACAGCTTCCTTGCAAGCCATTGACGTCCACTCCTCTTTCCTGCTACAGCAGCCTGCTGTCCAGCCCTTTCAGACCACTCACAGCAGCCAATCAACATTCCTACAACAACTATGTTGTTGTCCCGACCCTTACCATCACTGTCAGTGCTTCCCCGCTCACTGTCCACCCTCCGAAAGTGCTGGCGAGCCTTCCCAACTACTGCCCCACCTTCTCACTTGGTACCCCACCTTTCAAACTACCTCCCAGTCGGCCAACAAACCTTCCCGTCACCTTAACCTACTGCCTCCCTCCTCCAATTCACCTTCCAACCCCTATAGCCCCCTCTCCCACATCCACCCTTACTGTCGCAAGCCTCCATACCCACCGGGCCAACCTTCACCACTCTTGGGATACACTTTCGAAGTGTTTGGTTGTGTCGTCCTATGTTTTGTGTTTATTATTCTATATTTTCGTTGGTGAGTCATCGTTGTAGTTGATTTCAATTTCAGTAATAATAATTGTGTTTCTTTTGTAGTTTGGGTTTTCTTCTCCAATATAAAAATTAATACATTGCAATGGTCTTAATAAAATGAACCATCATTTATAACCAACCCTAGACACAAAATAGAGATTTGTAACTTTCATCCTGCCATATGATATTTTCAATCATAGAGATTAACCAATGGAGCATACTTTATATTCGAAGTAACTATTTGTGTTCTATTGATCATTGACCAATGGCAATTTCTTAATTACAACTTTAATAAAGAATGAAGCAAAAACTCCAACTACCTCAAAAACACCACAGAATATGAAACATACTATTAGTTTGTATTTCCAAAGGTGTTAAATTATGAGATCCATATTACATTCCTTACTCATCACAGTCAACAAAATCAATTTGCAAACATACAAAGATCATGGGAAAAAACATTAAGCAACTAAAAATATTTAAATTTCGCACAAAACACCAAGTTATTAACAGGCAGAGTTATGTACTAAACTAATGGATTGCACTCAGTTGAGAAATAAAAGAAAAAAATTCATGGACGCCGTACTCTTGATTGAAGGTTTAGCACCTGATATTTCAAAATGAAGAATGGGTTAGTTACAAGGATTTGATATGGAGCAATCTAGCACAACAACTGGAAAATAATATTTCTTTGTAAACTGCCCATCTTCTAGACTACCAAAATCACAATATATATACAAGAGTCGTATCTGTTGTTGTAAATAAAAAATGATCAGAGTCAAAACTTGAACATAGGTATATCATCCTATGATAAATGCAGTGAAATGGAAAATCATGGAAGACAAATGCCTTCCATACGATAAGATTCTCAGTCTTTCGCTATATTCACTAGAGAATTTGTGGCAAGGCTCCACGAAAAGGTGTATGGTTACAAGAATTTAGCACAAAGAAATCTAGATCAAGCAATAAAATGTACACAAAAGGCTTATCGAACAACAAGAATCGTCTCAATACTTAATCGATCCAAATCCCAATCAGAGTCAAAAGTTGAACTTCGGGCTACATCATCCTATTCTTCATTCAATACAGTAACCCGATAAGATACCCTTTCAAGATTGGCAACCTCCATATGCATCAAAGATCCCCAAGAGATGATTGTTCCCTCCAAAGTCAACTTCATAAGCAGATAAAATTCATACAAAAACTAATAAAAGACCACACAATCGGCAAATAATAGCAGAACTGAAATACCCATCTCCATCTAACTAACTCAAATCCAAGCAAAATCCTACTCGATAAAAAAAATCGAGATCTGAACGCATAAGATGAAACAAGAACCTTGAAGGGCGATCGGTATCGGAACTTTGCGTTGTCGTAATCGACATCCTTGCTCGAGTAAGGAAGAGTCCTAGAAGACATGTCCGGTGAGGAGACTTATGCTTTCCGGCGGTTAGCTTCTGATGCGGAAAAGGGTGAGCGGGGAAGAAGAGAGGGCCCGTTCTATTTTGTGAGAGCGTTTTCCATCAGAGTCCACAACAAGAAACGATCGTGCTGCTTCTAAAAGGGAGAAGAAAGCGTTTTTATCTTCTTCGTCGCACGTTGACGGTTTCTTGAGCGGGAGCTCCGTCGTCGCCGGTCGTTGGCCGGCTGCTTACGATTTGTGAGACGTTTGACTTCAGGAGTGTTTCGTCTGAGGGAAAAAGTGTAACTTATTATATATATATATATATATATATATATATTTGTGTGTGTGTGAAGATATTAGACAAAAAGGTAACAAAATATGAGAATCTTCATGACTTCACAGTAATAAAACATCATAGCTTTAGAGTTACACACATCGAGTAAAGCATAATAAGGCTACAAGTCTTTAAACTTCATTGATACTTCGGGAAAGCCTTAAAGCTTTCAAGATCCAAATCAAACTATCAGCAAATTATTGATTCAATTAGTGAAGATCATCTAACTAAAATCTGGAATAATAGTGAGAGCTTCCAAAAAAAATAAATAAGTAAATGAACTAAACTAAATGGGAAAACTACAAGCAAATCAACTCAAAATTTCACCTATCTTTATGAAAAAAGATAGAAGTACGTCATAAAATCAATATCAAAACCATCCAACAAAGAGGCATCAACTCAAATGATCTCTAAGAACATCAATCATAACAAAAAAGAAATCCAACAACCAAAAAGCTCCAGAAGCATTAACCATCCAACATAAATTAGAGACAACAACAAACCCAATGCTCAACAGCAGGACCTCCTTCAAAAGGTTAGGATAAGGATGAGCTTAAAACTCACTGACAACAAAGCATGATAATTTCATACAAAATATAGGGAAAAAATTTTATCATAGTTGAATCATCATGCAACTCTGAAATTCATCGTATTTCAACAAAGTGTAGTATCTGAAAAGAACCTTTAAGCAATCTTACAGCTAAAACAGGTGAACAATAGATGATTAAAAAGGAAGAACGATTTAGAGGATAACCCTTCTAGCATATGAAACCTAGTCTAACCCGCATTTAAAACCACTATCAATGTTCAAACATGGAAGAATGCTAAAGGCAAAATCGACGCCCTCTTACATTTTGAAGAACTTACAAATGAAGCAACAAATCTCATTCTCAAATTTTCATCATCTTCTTCTATATTTAACCAGTTTATGGATGCTCTGAACAATAATCTCTGAAGTATGAGACTTATTAAAGATACTAGAATTCCTTTCAATCCAAATAACATGAGCAGTAGCTTGAACAACTGCCTAGTAAAATTTTTAAAGATCTCATAGGAAAAAATTATCAGCATGAATGAAAACTTGTTGTGAATATTGCTTTTTAGTAAAAAAATGGGAGAATGGACTTTCAAAGAAAATGTGACAATGAGAATATGTTCCTTGAATACCAAAAATATAATTTGTATCAACGATAATCCTTCTAGAACTTAGAATTCCATAAGCTTTCAAGGCTTTATAGAAATTTTTTCAAAAATGTAAGACTAATTTAATAGAAAAATCTTTAAACCAAATAAGATTGCTACAATCATTGTTAGGATAGTTAACATATATCATATCATAAGTGGCTTTATGAGAGTATCTATTATGACCCATCTAATAGCAAGTTAACAAACTCTTAACAATATGGATAGTCAAGGCAATATCAAGTGCTAAGAAATTATCGTCAAAGTACCATTTGTCATTAATCATAAGCTAACAAAGCATTTCTATTTGGGCAAATCAAACCAACCTAAAATAACTTTTCCAAACAATTCAGAGAGAGAAACTCCATTCAACCAAGGGAAACATCTTACTATTATAAGATTATTGAAATTATAAACAATATCTAATTATATGAGTCAATTTAATAAAGTTTTTTTCCAAAAACAAAATTCTAACTCTGTGTTTACACAAAATAGATCCATATTTGTGGTCGCACCAACTAGCTAAGAAAAAGGCTTAAAGTTATAATTTCTCTAAGACTACTTGGATTTACAAAGGACATTCATGGTGTCCAAAGAAGGGATGTCAAGGCCACCCTTAGCTTTAGGCTTAGAATAAGTACTCTGAGCAATTGTATACAACTTTCTCTCAAAGCCATTATGTTGGAAAAAGTTATTGATTTTAGATGAAATAATATTTCTAATACCCATAAGAAGAGTAACACAATGTATAGAGAGTAATGTATAATGGTTTTAACTAACTAGAATCTGCCAAGAACAGCTAAGACCTTCATTTTCCATCCAACATGCCATTTATTCAGCCTCTCACTAAGTGTTTAACAATCAACCACAAGGATCTTAGTGGGTTTGATTGTAACACCTAAGTAAACTCAAGATAAAGGTTTAAAGATAAAACCAAAAACATCACAAAACTATTGTTGCAAGGAAAATTTTACATAATTAAATAAATACATAATAGATTTTGAGGCATTAACTTCAAGATTTGAGGCAAGGCTAAAAGCATTAAGAATTTCCTTAAAATATTATAAATAAGTAATATTAGCTCCACCGAAAATGAAAAGCTCGTCAGATAAATTAGATGTGCAAACTTATTATTCCTAGGTAAACTTTCTTGACCAACCTCATGAAATGAAAGAGTTAAAGAATGTGTGTCAATGATAGTAGTAAAAAGATAAAGAGATAAAAGGACACTATTGTCTCAAACAAGATGAAGATGGGTAGTGTTTTTTTATTTCACTATTTATAATAACAAAAAAGGTTCTCCTCAGTTATCCATGCTTGAATCCAACAAATGAATAAATGTGGGAAGTCTAGCTGAGTCATTCTATCATATTAATGGAGCCTATTCACTTTATCAAAGACCGTTTTTAGATTTATTTTGGAGCAAAAACTCTTTATTAAATTTTTGGAATTAAAATCCTTAATAAACTTGTTGGCTAAGATGATATTTTCAAAATATCTCATTTTTTAATGAATGAATCTTGAGTTCAATGAATGATATTAGGAAGAGTAAGCTTAAGAAGATCAACTAAATTGAAATAGCCTTATAAAATGTATTACAAAGAAAAATTGTTCTTAAGTCAGATTTAGAGCCAATTTTTTTAAAAGAAAAGTAAAACAAAAGGTTTAAACCTAGCAGGAAGCTTAAAAGTTCTGAAAAAAATACTAAACCGCCTCAATATAAATCTTCCCAATAATAAACTGAGTGAATTTAAAGAATTTTAAGCTAAAACCCTTAGGACAAGTATATTTTCAATATTCAATAAAGAAGAAAACATTCTTAATATCATAATTAAAGAAGGCTTGAATAAGGGCATTATAATAAGAGAAAGAGCCCTAATTTTTAATAAGATAGAAATTTGCATAACCATTCCTGTTAATAACTTAAGAAAAAAAGCAAACTAGAATAATATGCAATACATTCTAACTCAATGTCACCCTGATGATGCATGCATGTATTATCAACAAAAATCTCTTTGATAAATCTACAATTGTTCCTTATTCTTGTCATTTTATAAAAGAATTTCAAATCTTCTTCTCATTTATAAAGTTAACTGCATTTAGCTCTTTATTCAATCCACTTATATTCACAAAGTCTAGCTAGCATTGGATTTTTTTTTTTTTTTAACAAGAAGCTTTAATCAATAACTTCTTATTAGAAGAGGAAAATTCAAATTGATTAAGAAAAAAATTGAATGAGTTTTGATATCAAGTATATAATTAGTTAGAAAATGACCAAAGGAAAATATGTTGAGATTTTCATACCTATTTCATACCTATTTTTTCATACCTATTTTAAACTGTTTTTGATGATATTACACTTTAAAGAAAGATATTTTTGATGGTTTATTGTGATATTTTTAATGGTTTATTGTTGGTATGATGAATTATGGTCATTGGAGCAAAAAGATGCAAAAAAGAGCGAATTTGGAGCGAAAAGGACCAAAATGTGAAGATTTGAATTAGAGCGCCGACGTCGAGCCCAACGGTGCCGACGGCAGGGGAAAAAATTTCCCAAGCCTCTAGATTAAATAATTTAGAAGGCCCGCCGACGACGCCCTCGAGGCTGCCGGCGACGAGATCAACGGTTATGTCCAAAGGTGCATTGAATGTGGACGATTTTTGGAGGGATGCTTAGGCAACTCTTGGAAAAACTCTTCTACAACTTTAAAAGAAGATTTTGGCCGAAAATTAAAGTCCCCGGAGAGTTTGCTTGGGGAGAAATTAGAGATAAGTGTTATTTACTTGTTGTAGTTGTATGACTTTGCTTATATATATGAATTTTGAGTTTTTTTGTGTCTTCCCCATGAGTGCTGAGTAGTTTTCTCTGTCTTTCTCCTTGTCTTGAGATTTGTGAAATGGTGATTTGAATTGATTGAGCCATGAAAATATTAAAGAAGTTGTGATGATCTTTTCACTTCGATCTTAATTTACTTTCAATCTGGCCAATTGATTTGTTAAAATATGTTAAGTTTTACAACTAAAGTGAAGATTACATCTAAGATTCAAGGAGATCAAAGCCCTTGGAAATTGGGTGCAAATAAATAAGGAAATAAAATTATCGGATGTGGAATTGAAGATTTTAGAGTGACAGACTAAATCCCTAATTCAGTCCTATCATTTGGGTGTTGAAGTGTAGATGTTAGCCCTCAGGCGAGGGGAACGTGGGAGCTCCGAAGTGAGATCCGGTATCCTCCCAGCCTAGCCGCAGATTCAGTAAACAAGCGTAGGATTAGTCAATATTTTTTATGCCTGGACCAAAGGGTAAAGAATAGGTATGCTTCTATTTGACACAATACAATTTGAACTGATTCACTTTATCCATTCACTATAATTTCTTGACAAGGAGAATAATGTTTTTTTATATATTGAATATCACATTAAAAACTTTATTAGTATAATTAGTTATTTAAGAATTATTAAAATTACATATTTATTTCAATTGTCTATTAGTGACAGATAAGCAATTTGAATTATATTGTTGTGATTAAGTATCGATTTTCTAAAATCTTAGTTCATAGTTCTAATATTACTCCCTGTAGGATCGATATCTAGGACTCCATTAGAGCCCTTTATTACTTGAGCGATACGTATACTTGCGTTGATAAGTGTGACTTTACCATTATTGAATATTTTATATATACATCTTTATTGAATCTATAACCGTTGTTAAGTTTTTGGTGCTATTGCTGAGGAATTAAATATTCTAGCAGCAGTATTAATACTTGTATTTTTAAGAA